TCATTCGTTTTCATTTCAATTTTGAATTCCCACTTTACTTTCTTTGGATAAAGATTAAAAATATTCTTTAGATTTTGATCACCCCGAAAGTGAACGATYCCTAGCCTGTGACAGCACATAKCATAATGACAAATAAGTCATAAGTATATAGATGGTCTCATAACCAAGCAGTGTTTATTTGCATCTAAGAACATGTAGTATAACTTGTCGAATATTCGATAATTATATTATTCGTGCACTCACTCAAGATGTATTGTTGTGGAAACCATTTATCGATGTACACGTTGTCGGGTAGGTTAGCAATAGTGCCGTTTTCCCATTTCCATAGCACGATTTGCTTGAGTTTCCTGAACGATTCGACAAATGCCTGGACTTCGTGTTCTCCAAGGTCCGACATTTTTATGTTCGATCCGAAACTGAAGTAGATCGCTCCATGGGTTGCACCGTCCAAGAGTGATTTGAATTTCTGCCGAACATTAAAATAATGAAAACGTTAAAATTGATCAAATGACTACCTATGTATGATATTTGTGATATTAAATTACGTACATTTTAGGAACCTAGCTTTAATTTAGGCAGTCGGTAATTAGACCACATTCTATCTATACGTGCTTTGCATACAGTATTAGTTTACATTTTACTACCCAGATATTGTACAAAACGAAAATATACGAATATAGGTATGAGTGGTATGACATTTATTAAAACAGTCTGTTATTAACAGAAGCTATATAATTTGGACTTTTTTTTAATAAGTATAAAATATGATTCTATAGGTTCGTAAAATTAGTCAAATAATTATTTGTTTTTCAATAACTTAAAAATACAATTATTTCTTTAAATCATCCGATTTATATTTCACAAATTCATATTTGGTTTTTCCCTTCTTCGTATTTTTTGATTTAATTAATATAATTAATATTTTCCAATTTATAAAGTTTGTTTCCCTGGTTCATATGTTCATATGTGTTTAATATAAAATTTCTGCTATCTACGAATCCCAATTCGTTAATGAAAAATTTCTGACA